CACCTGAAAAATGGTAATCTTTTTACATTCTGAGCCTTTCCATGAATGCTTGTGCATGAGAAGTATTTCAAACAAGCCAAAAAGCAATTCTAAAACTACTGCATGTTTAAATTCTAGCAAGATTTAAGATGGAGCAAATGCTGTGTCCCATTTAGACCCTAGAGACAGTGAACACACTTCATGAAGAATACATTTATATTTTCTTGTACATAAATAAATACGTTTGTCATGATACCAGAACCATTGAGACCAATGGCTATGCTCAGCTGGGAAACGTATCTTTTCTCTCTGTATTTGTAAGGAACATGTTATGGTGTTATTTTTTTTTCTTTTGGTAGCGCTTTATTCTTAATTTTATGAAAACATATGTACAATTGAGTACTGTCAGACACACATTAAAAATACTCTAGAGGCTGGCTTTCCCGGCTCTGAGACCACCGGAAACATTCTCTTGCCTTTTGGGTTCCTAATCTTTGTTGCCTGGAACTATCCTTTTACCCTATAGATCTTAGTCTGATGATGTCCTTGTCCTGCATTGAAGCCTGCCTTGTCTCTCCATCACCTGCAGGAAAAAGCGCCAGCTCCTCAGCATGGCATTCAGGAGTGCCATCCCGTCCTCCACTGCTCATCCACACATGCTCTACGTTCTAATTGGAACAAATATTGGGTTGTTGGAAGTCATGATGCATTTTTGCAACAGAAAACATAGAAAAAAATGTCATGTCTTTTCCGACAACCCAATAGCTTTCTTACTGGAATGTACTGTGTCCTTCTATCCCTCTGTGCCTTTGTAAATACTGTTCTTAATAGAATATTCCGCTGCTGCATAAATCCTTTGGGTGAACTCCTAATTTACATTGATAAAGCTCAAGCATCAGAGCTTATCTGAAGAACTTCTTGGCTATTCGGTATAATTATTCTTGTTGTTTTATATAATTAAGAGCATTTTTATGGCATAGGAAGCTTCTATTGAAATAGCATATGCTACTTAATTATAATGAAGCTCTTTACAAATATAAATACTAATATTCATTAGCAAATAAATTCTCCAAATATCTTGTTTTTGTTATCGCATTATTTCCTTAACAGAGAAGGATAGCATGGTTTTCAAATCCTATCTCAAGGGAAAGAATGACTACCTGTAGAAAAGTGTGTTCTACAGGTCTGTACTCCTGACTGGTAACCAGTAGGCACCCATGTCAACATTCCTCATAAGTTTGTAGGTTCTTTGAAAGGTCAATAGGGATACATTTGTACCAGTACCATTTTACACAAGCAATACTAGGAGCGGCAGTGAAAACAATGATTATGAGCAATAAAGAGCTGTTAAAGAGGAAGATATTTAATTATGTAAGGGTTTATAACTACAGGGTTACTTAAATTGCGGGTTCCTTTAAAATTATCTAATTATCTTGAGATTGACAGCCATATTAGTCAGAACTCTCTGAGGTTTAAATGACAGAACCCTAACTCAAACTAGATTAATAAAAAACACACAACTCCTATGAAGTATACCAGGTAGCTAACAAATTGGAAGGCAGTACCGCAGGAACTTCGTCCTCAGGACCAGAACCAGCAACATAATGCTCCCAGGCATCTATTCATCACTTTCTCCACTTTGCTAGCTCCAGAGTGGGAGAGATGCCACAGGCTTCCAGCTATGTCATCCCAGTTTGGCAATATCAGCAGAAAGAGGACTTCTCTCAAGGTTTCTATAGAGAAAAGGACCCTGATAGGGTCATTTAGGTCTTTTGCTCACTCCTTGGACCAATTACTGCTGCTGGGTTATGTTTCTGACTGTTCCAATCTGAACCATCCTTATGAACAAGGGCTGGAGAGCCAGAATTGAGAACCCCATAGGACCACACGCAGTTAAGTGGAATTTCCCAAATAAAGGGGGCTATTGCTACCTAAAATAGGACAGGAAAATGGACTAGACTGGTCTTCTCAACCTTGAGGCAGAGGTTTCTGATTATCAGTCAGGAGCTTCGGTGCTAATAAGAGTTCTGTAGGCCTGTGCTGTTGGTTGTGACAGCTCTGAGCCTGGTGCCCCTTGGCAAGTAATTCAAGCTCTATGAATCTTAGTTTCATCATCTGTAAAATCTATGTCAAGTATAGTGGCTGCTCACACAGTTCACTTATTATTGTAGGTGAGGTGCTACTACCTTTGAGCAACTTTAAAGGACTGGAACTGTGTCTAATGCTCGAGGTATTAGACAAGGCTGTGAGATTACAGGACAAAACATGACCCCTGCCCTCTCTGGACTTACAATTGAGTAAGGGAGAAAGTAAAAGGGCTCTAGGAGATGAGAAAGTGCTGAGCGTTCAAAGGAGAAAATTACCATGGACTAGGAACTTTGCCTACACTCAACTAGTGCTGCCATTTAACAGGTGTTAAGCACCATGGCAGACAAACAGCTCTAACTGCCCACTTTTTGTGATGTATTGAAAAGACATTTAGGGCATCCTGATAGATGACGTTCTGATATATATGCAGAATGCTTGGCAACCCTATCGCCAGCCCTCACAATAATCCCCTTTATATAAATAATAAATCCAATTTATTATCTCCACTTGAGGAAATAGACTCAAGATGCCAGGCCGAAATGGCAGAACTGGGAACCAAGCCCTCATCTCTCCAGCTCTAAAACCTGGAATCTTTACATTCTACCATTCATGTTTCTCAACGACAATGTAAGATTTAGGTTCAAATTCTAGTTCAACCTCTAAATGTACGCCTGACTTTAGGTCCATTTCTCCTTCTGCACCTCTGCTTCCTCTACACCCAAATTGACGGAGCTCCTGTTCAGTTATCCACAATTCTGCCAACTACCTATGTCGTGACTCTCACAGTATGGCCCCTGGACCATCAGCATCACCACCTGGGAACTTACAGCATATTCATGATCACACAGGACCTACTGAACCAGGTTCTAGAAATGGACCAGAAACGTTTTAAGCTCTCCAGATCCTAATGCAAGTCTGAAAACCACAGGCCTTCAGCACTCTGTGGTTTGGGAATGCTGCTCTAGACTGTACAGGACAGTCTTCTATCTTTTCTCAACAACGAAGTCTATCACTCTCATTTCTTCTGAAGCTTGTCAGGTGTCTTAGAAACTTGGTATTTACACTACAGCATGGGACTGAAAATGTCTATTCTTGTTTCCAAATACGTCATTAAACTTCACCCCCTTCTCCAAAAGGGCTGTTACAATCCTTGTCAATACCATTACTACTCCACCTGTGCCTTTCCCTAAATGCAATTTGAAGTCAGAAAGCATTCTCCCTCTACAGGAAAGCTTTATTCCTCCTTCCTTCATTTTCCCTCTAGTCATTTAATACTGTCCATTTGTCACAAACCTATTTAAACGCCCATTACTCTTCATCCCACAAGCATCATTGTTTGCTCTGTCAATGCAAAATGGAACCTCACTGACCCCAGTGTGAATATGACAACTATTTTAACAGGGATAAGACTGAAGTTGGCCTATTATGAACCAGTTTGATAACAGAACTAATGCAAAAGTTTGTTTCATCCAAGAGCTTTCAAGGCTCCTCAAGCACTTGTAATTTCTCTGCATCATTACTGCTTATACATTTAAACTTAAAAAACAAAATATTTAAAGACCCTCCTCTAGAGACTAGGGACAGTCTTAAGATAGAGCAATTGTCAGTGTATGCTCAGGTGCATGAAAATCTTAGATTAGTGATGAGATAAATATACAGCCCTCTCCCCTCTAGAGTATAGCCTGAAACAGAAATAGAACAATTGAATATACTGCATGATGTTGTGAAGTTTTAAGACCACTAAAACTAGATATAGGTCCAAAGTTGTTCAACTCACCACCAAATGGTGATAACTAGCTGCATCAGAAATGGCTTGGGGAACTTCTGAAACAATAATTCCTGGAATACATTTGCCAACTTTCAATTTCAGAATTGTTCAGTGTAGAACCAACTAGTCCCAGGTGTCCCTAGTGTACGGGATTTAAGAACTAATGGCCCAGAGACAAGCTCCATTTTGAAATTAATCAGAAGCACCATAGCACAAGCCAATTAAAAACTATGCATGAGATGATCCAGTTTAGTAGCTTTTCCTACAGTCATTGAAGCTGACATAAACACTTTACATGGGACTACACAAATACATGGAGCAGGAAAAGTAGGTCACTCATTATAGCAATGATGGTGTTCTACCATCTCACTGCCCTGGTCCACCAAGTAGGTTCTAAAATGATGAATTACCGACTTTTCAAACAATTAGATTCCATGGAGCAATAGTAGTGAGGTTCCATGCTGCGTGTACCAAATCCACAAGACCTCAAACATTCACACACCTGTGTATATATTACTGAAACAAAAGTACCAGAAATAATTATAAAATATAAGCTAATAAAAGTTTCTTTTCCACATGGGGCGGGGGACAGGGTGAGGGTTGTTTTGACTAATGCTGGTCCTGAAGCACTAAAAGTTTGCAATCCATAATTTGAAAAGCATCATTTTCTACTTCACTTCATAGGTTAAGAAAACATGTCCATAGATACGCCATTTCACCATCTCAATTAAATATTTTGTGTGACTTTTCATTTACCAAATTCCTACCATCAATTCTTAATAACTCCACAATATGACCCCAAATGAGTTCCATTTCTAGGCTCTGCATTCTCTTACTGCAGGCTTCCATCAAAGGACCTAGAACAAGGCCACCAACCTCTCATCTTACAAGTCCCACTGCCAAAGAAAGTGATCCACACTTAGTCCTACAGAGTGGGAAAATTCCAAGGCAACATAGATGAGGTAGATCACCCTTTACATAATCAATCAACTGGATGTCAGGATCAATAACTCAGGAATTCCTGTTCTAGCCGTGGGTAACCAGGAGGGAAAATACAGGCTATCTGGTCACGGGATAGATGCACACTAAAAATGATAAAACTATTTTTACAGACATTTCTGTTGGCTATAACAAGAAATTTAAGTAAGAATCACAATGAGCAGCATTATTAAACAATTTAATTCCCAAAGTTATAGTGATTTTAGCTAAATACTTATACATTGGAACCTTCTAAGGCTGCTAATAAACACTATGTCAAAATTTGCAAATAAAGTTTTAAAGTTACAATTGAAAGCTATGATAAGTAACTCCTCTGTGTAGTTATTACTTCTGACCAAGGCATAAGAATTCAACTAGACAAACAGCTTTGATAACCTACCTAAAAATAGGAGGGTCATAAATTCTCGAAACTGTTCTTCCCTGCTGTGGACAGCCCTTGATCTTTGACTGTAAAACTTAGCAAACTTTGGCATGCTCTAATGCTAGTTTTTTAAGTTACTGAAAATCTCTATAAATTTAACATTATTTCTCATTTTGGATAGTTTTCTCATTCTGAATGCTTAAACATTTAGGTCACAAATTGAAATACCAGTAGGAAAACATTTATCTTTAGGCAGGTTCTATAGTTACCACATGGCAAGACACTGACAAGAAAATTTAAACATTCAGAACATACAAATACTTCAAAGCATTATCAACTTTGAACTTAGTACACTTTCATCCATTTTAGTAGTTCCAACTACAGGAAGAAAACCAGACTGCTGTAAAGTTTGAGATAATTTAAGCTAACTCAAAATTTTCCCCATTCCTGACATCAATATTAGATTTATAGTTTTATTATAGTAACAAATAGTTGTTACAGTGGGATCTACACACATATATAATACAGAATTATATTTAAATTCATATAGAACAATATTTACATTTTTAAGTTACAACTTTCAAAATTAGATGAAGTGCAGCTTAAGTTTTACAACAAAGAAAAGAAAGATACACAAGACAAAAATAGAGTTGACAGTAAAAATATAACTATGTTCTTGATACAACACATGGAAACTCTTTGTCAGAAAGCTACATCTTCTTAATCTGATTGTCCAAATCATTAAAATATGGATGATTCAGTGCCATTTTGCCAGAAATTCGTTTGGCAGGATCATAGACTAACATTTTCTGGAGGAAAAGATAAAAAGAAAAAAAGAGTTTTATTTATTTTAAAAATGAGCCATTTAGAAAAACTCTGTAAAGCCTGAACTTCTCTGCTAATAAACCATAAGCTAATATTACTGAAAATCTACTAAATGAACATTTTCATTAGTCTAATACCAAACCACATAAATGACTCATCCTATAACTCTAGGATAAATTATTCCTTAAATCATATCTTGATAACCTATAACGGTTTCTGATGTAGCTTCCAGCGAGTTCCAAAAGCAAAACCAGAGCACAATGTTATAAACAGTTAAAATGAGTCACTAAACGAATCATAGTTAAGACAATCTACTATTAAAATTAATTTACACATTACCAGAAAAAGATGAATAGTTTTATGTTGATCTTAAATGTTATCTTAAAGAATTAATCTTAAAGACAATCAAATCAACAAGCAGACAAGAGATACTGTTACTAATTACCATTTGAGCTCTTATTATGTATCTAGCACATATCATGTTACTTAATCCTCACAACAAAAGGTAGGTATTAGTTCATTTTATAATTTAAAACATTACTTAAGCTCAAAGAGGTGAAGTAATTTGCCCAAGTTCATAGCGCAAAGGAGTGCTAAGGCTGAAATTTGAAACCAAGTCTGATTTACAACAACAGTTTTCAACTAGGTGAGACTTTGCCCCTAAGTGGACATTTGGCAATGTCTGGAGACATTTTAGGTTCTAATAACTGGGTGAAACATGCTACTAGCACCTACAGGGCAGAGGACTAGGATCTTGTAACAAGCCTCGAGCAACAAAAAGCGACCCTGTCCAAGATGTCAATAGTGGCTAGATTAAGGAACCCTGATTTATAGTATTTGATTCTTGTTAACTGAAATGAAATTCTTTGTATTCAAGAATTACAGGGGCCAGCTGAGTGACTCAGTTGGTTAAGAGCTCGCTCAAGAGTGCGAGCTCTGAGCAACAGGGTTGCTGGTTCGATTCCCGGCCCGAGCTGAGCTGCCAACAGGTGTCGGGATGGCTCAGCTAAAAAAAAAAAAAAAATTACAGAACTAGGGGAGGCTGGTTAGCTCAGTGGGTTAGAGCGCAGTGCTCATAACACCAAGGTTGCCGGTTCAATCCCCCCATGGGCCATTGAGCAGCGCCCTCCACAACTAAATTGAAACAACTACTTGACTTGGAGCTGATGGGTCCTGGAAAACACACTGTTCCCCAAATAAAAAAAAAAATTACCAAAAATAGATTGGGCCCAGAATGTGGAAGGCCTTTTATGTCAAATCAACAATACTGATATATAAAAATTGAATAGCAGGTAAAGAACTTTGGACTGTAAACAACTGGGAAATCTGAGCTGAATTTGGTGGCACAATGACTTATGAAGTGTGAAAGATGCCCCAAAACCAATTAGAAGATACATATAGTGATAATGCAATTATCTATTTCTATTTCATAACCTGCCAATATCTTATTTTTTTCTGGAATCAAGTACCCCGACATTTATAAAAATGAGTTCCTTCTAAAAGCTCAATATTTAAATACCATTCTAAAACAAACTTCCTGAAGCAGGCTTAGGACAACTTATTTTTTTATCCTAAGTGTTTTTGTGTTGTTTCTAAAGAAAACAACTATAGTTGGGAATGGCAATATACCGTATTTTTGCTGTGTATAATGCGTTTCCGAGTATAATGCACACCCACATTTTTGGCCCAAAGTTTCAGGGAAAAAAATCTTTCACTTTAATTTTGTAATTCAAATTTTTATTTGTTTACATTTAGGTACTTGTTTTTTATATTATAAAGGAATTTTAGCATTTATTTTTTAACATATTATGGTACAAGAAATTTTATGTACCAGTAACAATATTTATGATATTTACGCATCGTAGAAGGCTAAGAACTCTTCGTCGTTGCAAGTTTGTCGTAAGTTCAACAAAACCAATTATCCTATTCCAGGGTATTATTTTACATACAGGTATCGTTATTAATTTCTAGAGTTACTTTTAACTCATAAGCATAAAAAAGAAAAACATTTATATAGATACGGAATTAGTGCTACCCATGTATAATGCACCTCCGTATTTTCCCCTTACAAATTTGGGCAAAAAAGTGCACATTATACACAGCAAAATATGGTAACAGAAGAGAAAGACTTCCAAGAACTATATCAGTCCTTCTAACATTTCTGATGTGGGAACAAGGCACAAAGTAAGAAATGGGACTGCACACAGTAAAAAGCTTTAATAACTGAAAATATCAAACAATAAGAAAAACACCTATGACTAAGATAAACTAAAAAGCGGTAAATACCGAGACAAAAAAACTAGAAAGGCAACTTAAAAAACAAAGGTTTATTAACCCTGGCCTCTCCTTCTAGGATATCTGTAGCTGTCTATCAGATTTAAAAAAGAAAAAAAAAGAGAAGGGGAAAAAAAAAAAGAACAGAACTAATACTAAATTCCTCTCAAAGCCACAAAACCATTAGGGTTTTTCAGGTTCTAAAATGGAGCTAATAATACAATAAACATAACAGATATAAAAGTTGTGTGCCTAACTCAGTAAATGGTTTTCTTCCTATTTCCCAGGTCAAAGGTTGAGTCCATTCAGAATCATCAATAATGTTGGTCAGTATAGAGGGAGGGCACTGCTTACCGAGAGCAGATCCAAGCCATTTTCATCCAAGTTTTTGACATGGGATGCTAGGCTTCCAGGTTTCCACTTGGGAAATGTATTCTTATAGTCCTGTAAAGACTCCACTTCTGGCCACACTTCATTGTTAGGGGTACCCAAAGCTCTAAAAGCCATAGCAAAACAAAAAATTACTAAAGTATAAATATAAATCTTGTTATATTCACGTTGCCTTTAAAGTTCTTAACAGCTTAAGTATAAAGCAAAAATACCTGAAAATTCTGAAGAGTTGATCGATTTCTGAATCCCCATGGAAAAGTGGTTTCTTCGTTGCTAATTCCGCAAATATGGTGCCTATACTCCAAATGTCAACTGGAGTCGAATAGCGAGCTGACCCCAGCAATACTTCTGGAGATCTATACCAAAGTGTTACTACCTATTTATTACAAAACAAATTTTCACATTGAATAAATGTGATGCATTAAATTACCTAAATGTAAATATTTATACTTCATTAGAAATGTCCTTTAGAAGGCTGTATGAGTGCCTCTGATGACACTGTTTAAAAGTCAACTATACACAAAATAATAAATATTTCATTTCTAAGTTCTATTTATTGCGGGGGAGAGGGGAACAGATGAAAGCATACCAAGTCTTTTCTGGCTTTTCAAATCATTAAAGTGTGGATACAAAAGTTGAGATAAGCCTTATCGTTTAAAAAAAAAATTGATAATGGATTTATCATTCTCTACAAAGTGCATGTACTGCTTACACGTTAAAAACATGAATAAGTCATATAACAGTTTATTAGTGATCAAGGCTTATTTTTAGTATACATAATTTATCGCAGTGGTAACAATATCACCTCTAACTTAAGAGTTAATGAGGTCAGTGGCATCTGTTTAAGCCAATGGGAACCAAATAATCTACAGCCAAGGAAAAAATAATATAAAGCGATGATAAAAAGAAGCCAACATGTCTAACCAGATAAGCGCTGTTGTAAGTTTTGATGTGGGGCAGTCTTTGGGCTCAAGGATGACAACTCCACAGAAGACACTGTTTTCCAATACAATCATGTGCTACATGAAGCATGCGTTTCAGTCCTTGATGGATGGCATATAGCATGGTGGTCCCATAAGATAATAATGGTGCTGAAAAACTCCTATTGCCTAGTGACGTAACTGTCTGAATGTCACAGAGCAATGCTACGATATTTTCTTAGAATTTAGTGTAGCCTAAGTGCACAATGTTTATCAGGTCTACAGTCGTGTACAGTCACGTCCGCAGCCTTCACATTCATTCACCACTCACTCACTGACTCCCCCAAAGCAACTTTCAGTCCTGCAAGCTCCATTCCTGGTAAGTAAGTGCCCTATACAGGTGAAACTGTTTATTTTTTATACCATCTTTTTACTGTACCTTTTCTATGTTTAGACACATAAATGGATAAATGGTTTGTAGCCTAGGAGAAAGGTTATACCATATAGCCTAAATATATATAGTAGGCTACACCATCTAGGTTTGTGTAAATGTTCTCTATGATGTTTGCACAATGATTAAATGGCCTAGAGACACATTGCTCAGAACATATCCCAGACGTTAAGTGAAGCATAACTGCAATCCTTTACTATACAACTTAACATTCCCTTTCCCTCCAGAAATAACAGTGAAATGCCAAGCCATCAATTTAACACTGAAAAAGTATGATTATATTTAGAAGCTTGTAAATATATCTGAAACAGTACCCCTTGCACAACAAAGCCTGTCTTTCAACCAATTTGATTGTGTATTAGAGAGGATCCAATCAAGAGGCAGAAACTGCAGTGATTGAATGGGGGAAAGTTTACTATAAAGGATTATTAACTACAACAGGGTTAGAAGGAGATTTACTAGTAAGAAATAATGAGAATTCTAAAAACTGTAGCAAGGAAAAGAAAACCCCTTTCTCCTGTAATGCCTTTTCAGCACCCTCTACTGACAAAAAGCTTAACATAGCACCACCTGACAAAGGAAAAATATCTAAAGGTTCCAGTTCCATTTTCACATAGCATGCAGTGAAGGGTGAATTTAAAGCTGAGAAGCAATAAATTGATACTAGCACAGAGTGGAAATGTTTTTTGAGCATTTCTTTCTTGACTTAAAGAATAAATACAGAAGACAATCCAGCAGTCACCCCAAACCACAATTCTACATACCTCATGTGTATATACTCTAATAGGTATTCCAAAAGCTCTGGCAAGACCAAAATCGGCCAGTTTAATTGTTCCTTTGTCATCAATCAATAGATTTTGAGGTTTTAAGTCTCTGTGTAGAACTCTTCTAGAGTGACAAAACACAATCCCTTGTAGGATTTGGTACAAATAACTCTGGAAGAAGAAAATATGTTAGCAACTTAACTATAGCACATAATGATTTTCTAAATAATCTTGATGAGTTTGTTTCAAAGATGACATAGGCAAATAATTTAACGATCAAAAAAGCTTTCAGGCCATTTGAGATTAACAAAAAGCATTTTAAGGTTAAAAAGCCTATCTATATACAATGTCATGTTTGTATACCTAAGACAAAAATATTCACCTTATGAACACATCTATATCCACATGAACTCATTTAGCCTTCTTTTACTTATTTTTAGTCCCTGATTCTTACTTAAGTCACAAATTAGTTTTCTATATAGAAAGTTTGTTAAACTTCTGCTCTATATACTTATAGCAACTCTATTTCTATTTTGAATAAAAGTGGTCTTTTTCATTTCTATCTTTTATCTTTATATATTCATTTCCTCTTTGGACACACTGGTCAGATTCCAAAAGAAATGACAAATAGCATATTATATTTATATGTCTAAATAGATACAATGATCAGAAAATCCTGTTTAGTAGTTCAGAGGTAAGTGACTTGGAGTGGTTTGCTCAAGCTAGTATAAGGATAAGACACTTTTACTTTATATCCTTGAGTATTTTTTAAAAATTGTGTATACATTTATAATTGGACAGAAAATATCTATAATAAATTAATCAAAACATATTCAAAACCAGAATTAAAATAAACTACCTGCCACCATCACCACTACCCTGCCCCAGGCTTGTTACTTTTACACACATCAACAGCCAAATAATGACCAGAATATCTCGTTTCCAACAATGTAACACATAGTTTTATGTTATCTCTGGCACAACTTTTCACTTTATAACTAGAAGCATTATTTAGTAATCAAGTTAACTGTTAATCTAATCTCTAATCTAAAATATTTTCTTCCTCATTCTACTTTCTAAGACTTTTTCCAAACATGCTGCCACAAAACACAGGCACTTCTATAGAGTAGATCGTTTACATTCACAGCGGATAATTACTAATAAAATTAGGAAAGCTTCTCACCTTAACAAGTGAAGAATCCATGAACTGACCAGGAGGGATAGAATCCAAGTATTTCTTTAGATCCATGGAAAGGAATTCAAAGATGAGATATAACCTGGAATCCTGCATAAGCACATCTTGAAGACTAAAGAATAAAACAATTATGACAAAACAAAAACAAATCTAGCACACATTTTTTACCTCTCAAAAAATAAAACGACTTTCCTAAATTTCAGTTGCTATTTACAAAAAGTGGGACAACAGAAATTTTCTATGATAACAAATACATACTGTTTTGAGAAAGAAATGGGAGCTTCCCTAAATAGTGAAAACCTTCCCTAGTAGAACTAAAGAATTTTAAAAAGGAATCTCAGGGCAGCAGTGGGAAGTTAAGTTGTATTATACACAAGTTGCTAACTGTCAAACCACTTATATTCCAAAAGAACATTTTTAGGTTGACTATTTGCTGTTCAGAGCTTTTATTTCCATTGAGGTCAATTATAGAAATAAATTGTAAAGTAGTATCTGACTTTAATAGTTGCTCACTATCTCCAGTCCCCCACCCCCTACCCCAAATCAATTAAATCCTAACTTGGACCTTAGAAAGAAACCCACAAAACACTGGCCCAAATATTTAAAAAAGGAAAAAACCTTTCTTTTTCATCTGACCTAACAGCCTGTCTTAGGACTCTGATTAAGGGATCTTTAAAGACCAGAGCTCTCAGAGTGGGAACGTTTATAAAGCTCAGTGAGGTCATCTCCTATGGCCAATTTACCTTGATTTTCAGCCCTAAATACTAGTCTCTATGACCAAGTTCAAGCTCATTGCATTCTGTTCCGACTTGACAGACTATTTTTCCTATGCCCAGCGTTCTCAATTAACAAAAATAGTATTTTTTTTCCACCCAGCAAGGTTACACCAAGAATTAAGCAAATGTACAAATTTCCACATTTTAAATAGTATGTGGAAAATGGTTAAATCCAGATATACCATACCTGACTATATTTGGATGACGAAGTTCTTTTAATAGAGAAATTTCCCGAATTGCAGTACTAGGAACCCCTTCCTCTTCACTTTCTAGTCTGATTTTCTTCATGGCTACCACTTGACCTGTAGTTTTGTGTCTGCCCTTATACACAACTCCATAGGTACCTGAAATAGACAAAGTAAATGTCTGCTATGTGACACCTTCCACAAACTAAAGATTCAAATATCCTGCCCGGCAATAAGATAGGCATAGATACGTGTAAAGATTTGGGCTCAGGAAATATTACTAACAGAAGTTACTGTGACACTTTCAGAAAACTCTGTATATAGTGCTTTATGCGTTTCAAATATATAGTCAATCCTCATCCAGAAAAGAATGGGGATAAAATATTTTATTAAATATTCATTAACTCCAATAAAGATCACATTATTTACTACATAGTAGAAAAGCTTCACAACCATTCAGAAGTTGATGAGAACACTGATTCTGATTTTTGGATTTCAGATAATGAGCAACAATGTCAATATAAGGGATCTGGGCATGGAAATGGCAATAAGGGAGATAGATTACTATGTAGTTAGCTAAATCAAGTTCATATACATGGTATACTTAATCCCCTAGATAAGTGCTTTTTAAACTGGGGTTGGAAAATTTAGGGAGGTCTTGAACCCCTTAATTATATGTAAAATTTTGTTGACTAGCTTTAGCTTTTGCTATTTTTTTTGACATCAGTATAATTTCAAAAGTGATTAGAGTGCATTTTTCTAGGGAGAAGGTCTCTTCTATGGCTTTTATCAGTTTCTCCAAAGGTAGAAAATGGTAATTATTATGCCTTAGACATGCTAATCAAACTTATTTTTAACTCCGTAACAAAGTTAGTTGAATTGGTATGATACAATTTTTAAGTAAGTTTATTTTCAAAAAATGAAATCATATAAAATTTTAAGTTAAAAGAAACTATCTCCAACCCAACCACCACCGAAACCTGTAATTACTATCTTACTAATATCCTTCCAGTAATCCTCCCCTGGCTTTTTAGTAGTATTCCTTATACAAGCAGTGTTTTGGAGCACACTAAAGATATAGCTGGAAATGTTCCTCAAACAGAATCTACATAAATTGAACTCTAGTAGAAAATTGTAAGTTTTAAGTTATGCCATTTGTTCCTGCAGAGTTTAGAATGTTAATATCAAGACACCTATATAAAATTTAAGATATTCTGTTGATGGGAAAAAAACAGGCAGAGGAATATTTTTATCCCATATTTATACCATATAGATATAACCATACTTTAAAAACTTTAATGAAGTTACTACAGAAAGGGAAAAATGATTAATTATTGGTTTTAGAATAACTTAAACATGTACACACCTCATTTAAAACTAGGGTAACACAATGGAAAAATTTATTTAAATTAGTGTATAGTCAATTATTGAAACCAGTTCAGAAAATTTAGGTAAAAATATTTACCATGTTAAAAATAATTGTAGGAGACTAGAAGTGTATTATGAAACTTAACATAATTCTACTGCCCTTACTTCTTGCCCCAACACATATACAAGATATCACTAGTTTTTTCAAAATACAAATATTGCTTTAAGTATTTAGTATTAGAAGAATGCAAGGTCTGGGGGGTGGGGGAGCATTTGTCAGGGAGTCGTATCAGAATAATTTCAATTCTCTTGAAATGTGAACATTTTTGTTATTTTTGTGTTTAAGTTATTTATGTAAAGAACATATATATTAATGCACAGTAGCATAAGATGCTTTAAAGGTTGGATTTTAATAAATATTTACATTTCTTCATGTCACAGATGTTATAGCATCATTAAAAATCATTAAACATTGTTCTAATACTGCAAAGCACTCACCTTCTCCAATTTTCTCTATTTTGGTATAGTCTTCCATAGTTAATCAATAGGTATGGTAGATGCTAAAATGAGAGGAAAAAAATATTTGATTATATGCCACTAATTCAAAGGGGGTTTTAAGTTATTAATAAAATACTCTATGTAAGGTACTTTCCACAGTGCTTATGAGCAGTATTAATTTTCCATAAATATTAGTTATTACATTAAAACAATATTTACAAGGGAAAAGGACTCCACATTTCTTAGCTCCTAAAACATAATATTTGTATATCTTATACCAGTGTTTAGCTTCTTCCAATGAAATAACCCTGTGCCAGTTATATCCAGATACTTCAATAAATGTTATTTGACTGAATTTTTACTGCTTTATGATTTTATGAAGATAATTTAAAGACATGACTAGGGAGCTAACATGTGGTCACATAGCTCATCCATTAGAAAGATTGTTAAAAGCATGTGTTTATGCTTTCTGTTTTTCATTTCTGTTTTTTTGCAATCACATACACAAACATGATCAATGCTTTCTAGGTACTCCTTGAAAGAGCAGGAAATATCACTTGGCAACCTAAAAGAAAAGGCGCAATTCCACAGATTAAATTCTAATTATACCCTATACAATCTCAAGAACAAAGTTAAAATGTGTGTGCCCACACACACACATATTTGAATCACAAAGAATGGTACAAAAAAAAAAAAAGATGAAATGCAGATAACCAGACACCCAAGACTTCCTCAGCTGGTAAGTTTGCCTATGAAACATAATTTTAGAAGAAGCCCAAAGCATAATTACCTTGATTTTCTAACACTCATCACTGATAACATCATATATAAAGGTCACTCTGAGTAATTGACCCTTAAATTCTATTTCTCACATTCATCTTCAAAATCATTCCAGAAATTAGAGATAAATCTTTTTAAATGAACAACATTGCACTACACCGACCAGGAGTGTCAACCTTAAAAAAACTTAATTGTACGAAATGGCAATGGATGATTAAGATCATTACCTTTCCTTCAACCTCCTGATTTAATATGCCTAACGCACAGTAAAATTGTTGAGCTCACTTTGAACAAGTAGCTGAAAACTAACTCCATCTCATAGCTGGGTTCCACTGCCCTCCCTCCACTTTGCTGTCGTAACAATTTTAAATCTAGGACGCACGCAGCGTTAGGCCTCCTGAATGCCTCCTAGGGCTCTCTGTACCAACACTAGCTGCAGGATGCAAACTACCAATGGCTTAGCCCTCTGCCCACAGAGGCTGGAGCGGGAAGCAAGTCGTTCACATCAGTAACTTTCGTATGAAATACAAATTGATTCAAGGGCCTTAATGCCAACATCTTTCGGCATTCCTTAGCTTTTCACTTTTTGCCCACTCTACAGCATGCAACCACCACCAAGCTATAAAATAAAAACAGAAAAATCCAAGTTCCCTCTGGCTCTCTGCCTTGGCTACGTGTTCTTCAAAGCTCTGGGTGGGCAAGGCCATGGGCACCGAGGCAAGTCCGAGGAGGCCCACAAACCACAGCTCGGTTTTCCCAGAGGGCTGGGGTTCAGGGCGGGCGTGGGTACCTGGCCCTGGTGCGGTTGCTTTCCACTCCCAGGAGCGAGGGCAGAGCGCACAAGGGACCTGGTGCCGAGCCTGGCACTCCACAAGCGCTCGGCGGCGTCGAGGCAATGCCCGAGTTTGGCTTCAAAAGTGACCCTAAAGCCTCCCTAGCGAGGCGGGCGGCCTCTTCCTGCGAAGAGCCGACAGAGCCTCCAAACCACAACTCCGAAACCAGGGCAGCCGCAGCCTTTCCCGGCTTCACCCCACCAGCTCTGGGCTCCCCCAAGCCTCCCTCTAAAGCTGGGGCCCGGCGTCGCTCACTTGCCCAGGCCCGGGGTCCCAGGTGAATGCCGGGCCCAGCCTCCAGAAGCCCAACCTGGCCCCACGCTGCCCAGCTGGGCTTCCGAATTACCACCCGGTTCCTCAAAATTCCCCCTCTGAAGTGCCCCTGGCGACCCCACAGGCATGACCCCGATCCCAGCAACGCTCCCCGGCTTATTACCCCGTGACGAAAGGGGCGGCGGCGGCTACCCCGTCTGCAACTCCCTGCACTTCCCAGAGCCAGCTTTGAAGCCAAATGCGAGCAGTTTCAAACTCACCGCTCTAAAGGGTCCCGGGTTCACCAATGAGGTGGCCCGTAGACTTTCAAAGGAGCCAATCAGAGCCCAATCACGCTTGGGCGGGACTTCTCCGGTGGCTAAAGCGCGAAAGAAAAAGAAAACGGCGGCTGGAGAAAAAACAGGAGGGCAGGCGCCAACTGAGTCTGCGCGCAAGCGCTATCTTTCACCCCGGGAGACCGTCGTCCTACTGTTTCTAGCCACCAGGGATCTACTGGTGGTCGGTCGGGTTGTTGTTTTTCTCCTCCCCCATATTAGCACAATAAAAATTTATTGTACACAAATAGCTCATCACAAAAGCGATACTATACTTGCATCCAGATTCCATTATTTTCTTGAAGCTAGTGTATATTTATGCTTTTCTAAATGGATGACTTTCAGGCTGGGCCGAGGGAGCACATCAGTTACCTTAAGAAGGTGATGGAAAATGGAAAGATGCCCTCAACAATGTAAAGAAAATGTTCAGTTATATATGTACATGATTGTTTTTACCTCACTTTTTTATTTTAAATTTTTTATTTATTTAAAATTTTATTTATTTAAAAACTAAAAACTAAATTTTATTTTTTAATTTTAAAATACTCTCACATCGGTATTTTAAGCGTTCTTTAAAACAAAAAAATTCACAATTCCACAAGGGAAGAAAAAGGAATCTTTAAGTAACCCAGTATCAAAAACTCTCTTTCATTGCCCTTCACCATATTCTTAAGAGAGATTTCTGCACTTGAACATCATTCTTAAATCTTCAAGAAAATAAAAGAGTAAAATAGAAGTGTAAAAATCAGTTTCCCCTAGCAAGGAACTCTCTTCGCACTAACATTAAAGGGAAGCAGAATAAAGAATGATTACCATGACCTCTACTAGTGTGTTAGACGACCCAGATTAGGAGAAGGAATGGAACTTCTTTTATCCCATACATCGAAATGTTTACTACCTTTTTACACAATAAGTAGCATGTGTCATCTGGCCCTATATGTGGCACAAATGCTCAGCTTTGACAGTTTTATGCTCCTAGGTGACAGAGGCAGAGCATTTAGAATGGAGGTAGGGGTTTGAAAAATCTCTACCTGAACATAATAAACTTTAAAATCCCCAATTCACATTTTAAATGAAACCTGGCTACCCCCAGTAAAGTACTTAGGGAAGAAGACTGTTCTTTGCTAGTTTAAGGTACTGATTTTAATGAATGAATATATATCTTTCTCTCTGGGAGGCCTACACATGGAATTTAATTTATATCATCTAAAAACAGGCAGTAGTTCACTACATCCACTTTACGTTCAACATAAAGAATACCAGAAGCTTCCACAGCTGTGATGCTTGATTTTTCTTTAATTTAACTTGATTATCTTTGTTTTTGAAGTTTCAGGGATTATTGTAAATTCATGCTACTGTAAATTCATTTTACAGTTTATTACACATTAGTCCCACTTGTATTCAATGCCTCTACAGTGCAATGCTGAGCTGATACACACAAAAATGAAGCCGATACAATTCCTGCTCTAAGTGTGGAGGTAGGAGAACACAATGATTACTTAGAATTCTTTTCTGGCACTTATGTTGTAATTTATACTGTAAGGTAATGTGAGAACATGGTGGAAGAAATTACTAATTCAAACAGAGGAAGTGACATTGAATAAACACTGAAGAAAAAAATGTGGGGTGGACCTTCTAAGCAGAGGAAATGGCATGAGTAAAGCCCTGAAGTCTGCACAAGTAATTCAGGATGCCGCCCCCATAGGGTGCAGGAGGTCTGTAAGAGTTAAGCAGAGAAGAGAGACTGGAGTCAGAATCTTGAAGAGCCCTAAATACTGCTCAGGAGAGATACAGCTTTGGAACCATATTTTAGAACTATTCTAGAAGTGATATGAAAAAAAAATTGAAGAGGAGAGGATTTCCTTTTCATATGCCCCTCAAAATTTCAAATTTATATTTTGGTCAGCTCCAAAAAAGAAGGAAAAGATTAGTTGGCACTGCACATAAGCTTTTGTTTGGGTTTGTATTTAGATATAAGTATTGCAATGGACTGAATTATGCCTGTCCCCCAATTCATACATCAAAGCCCCACCCTCTAATGTGATGATAGTTAGAGATAGAGACTTTGGGAGGTAGTTAGGTTTAAATGATATCATGAGGTTGAAGCCCTCACTATGGGATTAGCCCTTTTATAAGAAGAGACACCAGAAATCTCCATCACTCTGTCTCTTCCATGTGAGGACATAGCAAGAAGGCTCCATCTATAAGCTGGGAAGAGAGCTCTTCCCAGAACCTGACACTGCCAGCACCTTGATCTCAGACTTCTAGCCTCCACAACTGTGAGGAAATTAATTTCTGTTGTTTATGCCACCCAGTTCATGGTATTTTGTTATGGCATCCCAAGCAGACTAACACAAGTATTTTTTCAGATAAAATAAATTTGAGAAACAGTTACTTGTAACTGCAGTAGTTATCCCTTATTAGCAGTTTCACTTTCCACAGTTTCAGTTGCCCCACAGTCTACCATGGTCTGAGAATATTAAATGGAATATTGCGAAATAAACAGTTCATATGTGAATCATCCCTTTGTCCAGCATATCCACTCTGTAGACACTTCCCATACCCGTTAGTCACTTAGTACCTGTCTAAGTTATCAGATCCACTATCGCAGAATCACAGTGCTTGTGTTCAGATAACTCTGATTTTACTTAATAATGGCCCCAAGTACAAGAGTAGTGATAATGACAATTCAAATTCAAACATGCCAAAGAGAATCCATAAAGTGCTTCCTTTAAGTGAAAAGGTGAAAGTTCTTGACTTTATAAGGAAAGAAAAAATTGTACGCTGAGGTTGTTAAGATCTACAGTAAGAACAAATCTTCTACCCATGAAATAGTGAGGAAGGAAATAGACATCCATGCTAGTGTTGCTGTCGCACCTCAAACTGCAAAAGTTATGGTCACAATGCATGGTAAGTGCTTAGCTAAGACAGAAAAGGCATTAAACTTTATTATGGGCATGTATGTATAAAAACATAGTATATGTATAAGGTTTGGTACTATCCGAGGTTTCAAGCATCCACTGGGATTCTTGGAACATATCCCCTGCAGGTAAGGGAGGACTACTTTACATAAAATATCCTGGAAGGAGATTCAAGAAACTAATAACAATGTGCTTCTGTGAAGTTAAGGAGTGACTGGGGCATGGAGGTGGGAGGGAGAGTTTTGTATCTTTTGAATTTTGAACCATGTGAGTATATTACCTAGTCCAAGAATGGATGGATGGATGGATGGATGAATAAATGAATCTTGCCAAGGTGTCTGTTGCTACTGGATAAAATTCATAGAAGTTGCTGAAAAATTTATCCAAAAGGAAAAGACTGATCTTCCTTTACATTAATTCAAAAAGTAAAATGATGGAAAAAGCAAGACATAATTTCAAGATCTTTTTATCACAACTGAAAACACTGAACTACCATGGCTATTCCTGAGTTAGGCAATTTTCTAACAAAAGTAATAGGTGTTTGGGGTAAATTTTTCAAACAATTCTATAACAAAGCTTGTCATATCCAACCTCCATGCCCCACCCTCATTTCCCCAGCAAGAGAGAGTGAAAGAGAGATCACTATCAACATTTTGTTATCCATGGTTTGAAGGCACTTGTGTCAACCCATCTCCATTTTGGAATTTCAGGAACTGGGAGTGGGGAAGGAAGGAGAGATTCATTCATCAACCTTGGGACCAGTGAGGATCCAGGATACCAGGTGAATAGATGTGGGTCTTCCCATCCAGGTAAGGAGCAAATGTTTACAGTGCAGGAGGTAAAGCCTGCTCTGTGCAGAGAATGCTGGTTATTAGGAGTAGGATGGGTGTAGTGGAAGGCAGGAGAGTCAGACGAGACTTCACAGCAGAGGTGGCATCTGAACTGTCTGGAAGAATGAAGAGTTTACCAAGCAGACACACAAGTAGGGAGAGATTTCTGGTCCATGGAGAGCAAATGACAAGGCATGTTTGATGAGCTGAAATTAATTAACAATACCAGAATATAAATGGAGTCTGGGGGCTGGAGAAAGAGTCAGGGAAATAATGCTAGGGAGTCAGGTATCCATATCTCTCATAAGGCCTTCCTGGGTTGTGCTAAAGGACTTGAGTAGGATGATGAAATTGAAGGGAAAAAAAATGGGAGTAGGGGAGTGACATAGTCAGATGTGGGAGTTAGGAGAGAAAAGTTACTAAAGAGAAGATGAGAGGAGGGACTGTGAGGTAGCATCAGGGCCAGGAAGCCAGTGGAGGGCTCTGCAGCAATCCCGACAGGTGCTGGACTAGAGGAGTGTCTAGTGGGTCTGCTTGAAGAGGAGGAAATGATGATGAGATATTTTGAGAAGCTAGGACTGCAAGACCTAGGGGTTCGATTGGGTGTGATGAAAAAGGGAGAAAGAGTCATCAGGGATGGTTTGGGTGTGGGCTTGGCTATGAGTGGATGCCACTACTATCTGGAGGGAGGTTATAGGGCAGTTGTGGGGGTGAAGTACCGCTCTGGGCACGTGGATTGTAATGTACCATGGGACACCCATGTGGCCACACATGGCCGAAGGCAGATAAAGGTTCCATGAGGGGCCCTTTTTAAATAAAAAAATGCAAAATTAAGTGTGATGGGGAATACATATTGAGAATAAAAAATTACAAAGGTACAAAATTTTAAAAGTTAAAAAATACCATCGAGTCACAAAAATCCATTAAAAATATATTTTATTAATTGCCTGACAGATCTTTATAATGCCTTTTTCCTACATTGGGGGGTCTACAATTTTTAGAATCCATATTTTAAATGTCCACCCAGCTGATGAGCTATTTATCTTTGTCTCTTTATACAGCACAATTTTGTAATATTTTCTTTTAAGAGAGAAAAGATAATCCAGTCTTTCCTTTAGTATGGTTAACTCAAACTGGCTTTTTATGAATGATTACTTCAAAAAGGTTTTTGTGGCTTCTCACATCATTATTGATCATGTCATGTATATTTTTAGAATTTCTGTCAAATTTGAGAAAACATCAAGTTTATCTCACATACATGTCTGTACTACTGCTCTAAGTTTGTGCCTTACAGACACAGGAATTCTGGAAAATTCTAATTTGAG